CCCCCCGGCTGCAGGGAAGCTGTGCTCCAGGTAAGGCACTGGAAAGGGAAGGGGAAATGGAAGGGGCAGGGTTTGGAATTTGACACTCCACGTAACTTGGTGCCCTAGGCAGCTGCCTAGTTTGCCTATAGGCACAGGCCACCCCTGGTACTGAGGGAGGCTTTTGCGTGCCGCGCATGCGCGGCCCCCGATACACTGCTGAGAAAAATCCATCAAGAAGCACTAGGGCGCTCAACACCTGATGTGGAGCACCTCCAGGGACACTCATCTCAAAGAACGTCAGTTAAAGGAAGGTGAGTAACCTCCTTTTTTAACCTTGTTAATGTGGGTTTTTTTTTTCAGTGAATACGTGTTTAAAAAGCCAACACTGACTGTTAAAAATCTGAAACAGGCACACATACCAGGTACACGTAAGTGAAGTATATTTTTTTCCCAGATAATGTTGTTTGTTTTGGATTGTTATTGGAAATAAAATACGATCCATATTGCTTACTTTTAAAGTTATATTTTATCATACAGCATGTATCATACTGTATGTACACTTCCATTTCATTATGTGTAGCATTATAAAATTGTAAATATTTGCATAGATTTTGAATTGTATATTACATAACTATTAAAACTATTCTTTTGTTTAAATTTTATCTTCTAAAATGTTTTACTTCAATTTTTTGTAAAATAATTTCTAACATTACACAAGATGAGTTTAGACAAATGTTTTCTGCTGTATCTGAAAATTTATTTGGATTGAGCAATGCAATCATTCATAGTACAGGAGACATTTGCAGAATAGCTATTTGTGGTTCTGTGAAGTCACAGGTGTCTCTGAAGGGGCTAGCAGGGGCTGGCCCTTCTAGTGAGTTCACTGCAGCTTCTAGCCTCTGCAGTGAGTTTCCTACTGCTCCCAGCCCCTGCAGTTAGTTCAGGAACTGCTGGGAGCTCCCTGTGGGGTCCAGGAGCCATGGCTTCCAGTCGGGGGCGGCCCTCGACTAGCTGCCAGAAACTGGCACCCTAGGCGAACCATGTAATCGGTGCCCCCGCCCCAGGGGAAGATCTAGGCAGAGGTTTTTGGTAAACTGGGGAACATTTTGCCCCTATTTTCCATTTAATGTTTTTAAGCATATGTATTTAAACAGGCATAATTATTCGGTTTGTCTGGTGGTCCAACAAATGTTTCTGAGATCAGATTAAAGTAGAGACATGAAATTTACAGAATAGATTTGTACATGACAGCTAGATGATATTTCCATCCAATTTCAAATAAAAATGCATTACAAATGTTATTTATAAGTTTTATTATTACAAATCCAAAATAGTCCATTATGCTATCCTGCTTTAACTGTCATTACTATGACATCGAATATAAGCTAAGAAAACTCTTCAATGAACTTTAACCTGTAATTACAAAATACTTTGAATAAAAAACACTCTGTGCTCTTAAAACATGACTTTTCTTGCTTTACATTTACCTGGCTTCTCCGGGGCAACCACCGCTCCTGCAGCAGGGGAAGCCAGCGCCCGCCCCCCCAGGTGCAGGGAAACCCCTCCCCCGCACGCCCTTCTCTCAGGACTGACTGTGACCCCCCTGTAGCGCAGCAGGGAATGCATGCTCTTGGTCATGGTGCTCCTCACAGCCAGGTAAGTCATTTCATGAAGGGGAGGGGGAAATGAAAGCATAGCAGGCGCAGCAGATTCCAGGAACTTGGCGCCCCATCAACTTGGTGCCCTAGGCGGCTGCCTAGTTCGCCAATAGGCATGGGCCACCCCTGCACCAGTATTTGCAGATTTTGCCATTCACAGTGGTGCCAGAAATGCATCCACTGTGAATGACGAGGGTTTCCTGTACAAAAACTTGTTTTGATCTCTGCTCTGAATATTAGCTAGATGAAGGAAGCAATCTTGGGAAGTAGCATTTAAGCATGTGTATTGGAGAAATTACCACCAGAAAGACAGTTTGCTTTTTCCATCTTAGTTGAAATTCTCTCTTTTTTTTTTTTGCATTTAGAACAAGTTACAGTTTGTTTGGATTCAACAAACAAGGAAATAAGTATTCCAATTAATTCTGCATCTCCTAAAATGACAGATTTAAGGTGCTCAGGTAAATTATATTTATTGTAGACTTTTTATTATTGATATCATAACAATATTTTATGTCCCAACAGAAATACATTAAATTACTTGATATTACATCTGATTTGACACATTTACAATACAGGCAGTCCCCGGGTTACGTACGAGATAGGGACTGTAGGTTTGTTCTTAAGTTGAATTTGTATGTAAGTCGGAACTGGTACATATTGTAGGGGAAACTCTAGCCAAACATTTCTCCAGAGCTCAGTTTTATTCTCCCACACCTCACTTCCCTCAGTCCTTTATTCTCAAGCTGAGGTGTCTGCTGAGAAAAGCCGCTCCGCGTCTCCCTGGTCTGCTGGGGGGAAGCAGCTAGTGCGGGGTTGCCTCACCCCGTTTTTAAGTAGGGATCCGATGTAAGTTACAGGGACTGCCTGTACTAATAAATGCCTTCAATCTATTTTTCTCCCCAGTAATAAATTCTAATTGTCTCTTTATGCCACTGGACAGATTCACCAGCCAGAGTAATCTAAATCTAGCCCACACACTCAAGTTTAGGTCCACATCCCGTTACCATATAGAAACTATAAAAGCTCAAAATAATACACCTCACTGATATTTTTATGCTTTCTGTAAACAGAGAGGGGAGAAAATATACTCTTTCTCTGCTAAATAGGTCTCCTGACTACTAGGGATGTTAAATTTCAATTAATTAACTAATTGAGTAGTTGATGGAATTTCCATCAATCACTTGATTAGTCGATAAAGGTGGGCACTCGCTATCCCATTGCACCTCTGCCTTTGAAATGTACAAGACGCACCTGCGGCTCATGTACATTTCAAAGGCAGAGGCATGGAATGTACAAGACGCACCTGCGGCTCATGTACATTTCAAAGGCACCAGGCATGGAGGGAACCCACGCAAGGGGGAACTGAAGCCATCCCTGCTCATGCAGGGTTCCAGCTGCTGCACCTCTCCCCTTGAAATGTGGCTCTTGTACATTTCGGCTTGCACCATTTCCCCGCTGCACCTCTGCCTCCCCTGCCCCTCCATGGAAACGGTGCTGGGTAGAACCGGCTTTTAAGCTGGAACTCCCCCAGTACAGACTCCTGCTCCCGCTCTTGCTGCCTCTCTCTCTGATAGAGGCAGCAGGGGCTAGAGGGAAGCAACTAGTTGAGTCACTGTTTGACGAGGCAATCGACTAGCTGCTTACATCCCTATTGATTATTAAATCCCCAGCCTGCTCCATTGCTAACTCTGAGTCTCCCACAACTAGACATAGTCTCTCTCAGCAATTGCTGTTTGCAACCTTCAGTCACATGGCTGATGTGCTTTCTGAACTCAGTCCTCTCAGTATTAAAGGGCCAAGCCAACAAACTGATGTGTGTGTATGTGCCATAGGACCAACAACCTGTCACAGACTCACATTCTTTTTTTAAATTTATGAAAATATCTAACCTGTTTGGATATTTAGCTTATGGCTAAATTCTAGCATGAAGTCACAGCCATTTAATGGGAGCAATGCAAAATGTGCATTGGCTGTGCCACTGTTTAAAAGGTTGTACCATTCAATGCCTTTCATCTTTTGGATGGTGTTAGAAGAATGCTATCATCCTTCTCTGGCCACTTCATACAGTTTAGTATTAGTAGTGTCTCTGGTCCCTGGTCACAAGGACTTTTTGTACTTGGCTCCTGTGCATGGAAAGCACATAATGGACGCTGGAAGAGACTAAACCTCCACAAACCTTGCATACTACCACAGTGATGGATTGAGACGCCCTGAAAAATCTCCTGCCAGAGGGCACAGAGCTTGTTTAGTCTTGGGGATGCAAAGGGCAGGAGGAGAGAAGTGAGTGGAGGGTGGGGTTTTGGGGTAAAGGGGAAGAGTGGGGGTAGAAAAGGGGCATGGCCAAAGGAAAAGGGAAGAAAGGTCAGGTGCTTTGGGCTCAGAGTTCCAGCTAAGTCTAAGAGCTTGTTTGTCATCCCAGCTGAAGCTGAGAGCTCAACCCCATTTGGGGCCAAGCTCTCAGCTCCCCTATCCTGGCCAGGACCATGGGGGAAAGGCTGAGTTCTCAGCCCCCTCACCTTCTGGCGAGGGCCACAGTGGGCTGAGAGAAGCAAGCAGGGATGGGGTTTTGGCCAGAAGAGGCAAGGGGCTATCCCCCCCAAAAGAGAGGCTTCACCTACCACCCATGCCCCTGTTAGAGGTTGCTAAGTGAGCTGGCTCCTTGGGCTCTGTCTTGTGCCCTCTATGCATTTTTACATAAGGTCCATGCATAATCTGGGCCTTTGTGGATATAATTCATTTTCCATGGCCTTAATAAAAACTAATGTAAAAACATAAATTTCAGGGCCAATCTTTCTTGAGACGTGTACATGGAAATTTAAGAACAAATTGAACTCTTTGTGGGCAAAACAACAAATCTGCCAAATTTAGTGATAGCTCATAGAAATGCATGCTGGAACTTCAGAACAGGTGTTTGCTGGCTGTGACAAGGTTGAACATTGCAGAACCTGAAAGAAGACAATTAAAATAAATATCACAATTTGGCAAGATCGTGGCATAAGCTCTACAATCCATTCTGAATATATTTTTAACAAATAAATGTGCTACATCAACATTTTATAAATGCTATTTCTACAACATAGGTTTTTTTTTCCAGGATGTATAACATCAGGACTGTCTTTCAACAGCAGAAATTTTAGCAAGATCTTGCATACTTGTCCACATCAGTGTGATCGTCACAAAATAATTCTTGAAGCTGAAGAGAGATATAAAAGGGGACTAAGAAAATCGATTATCTATAATAACAGTAGTTCTGAGGCTTTTAAGAGTAAATATAAGAAATTTATTATAATAGATAAAAGTATAGTTTAAAGGTATTTGTAATTAGTAATTTGTTTTGGCTGATTCTGATCTAATAATCTCACATTGGTGTAACTCCATTAATTTTACTGGAGTTAGTCATAATTTATACTGGCATATACCTGTATAATTACACCTCTAATCTTTGGGAGTAAAAACTACAGCGTACATCTACCTCTCTTGTATGTTCCTTGGCAATTGTCTATATCCTCAGCATGGACTTGAATGAGGTTGTATGTCCTCTTAGCCAGAATTAGTAAGTCTCTGCCTTCTGCCATTAGGAAAGAGGAGATTGTAAAAAAGATGAAATAATGAAGAGTGAATGAATGCATGACAGCACAACAAGCCATTTCTCATACCAGTATCACTTTCTCAAGGATGTCAGAGGCTTATAACTCTTGATCAAAATGGAGGGTGAGGGAAAGTACATCCTCAAATACATGTAGCTTTCTACTGAAAAAAAGAAAAGAAACTGGATTTTTAGAATGAAACAATTTTTAATTGCCAGCATTTATGCTGATGATAAAATGTTTTGTCCTGTGCTTTCCAGAAATACTGTTGACCCCAGTTAAGAAAGGAAGACTGAATACAGAGTTGTCAACCTTCAAGAGCAGAAAAAGTCCTCAAGAAAATGTCCAAAGTAAGTGCCCAAGTGAGGCTCATGCAAAAACTCCTTATTGAATGAGTACTTCCATTACACACATACACAAGGGCATTTCTACATAAGCCTCCTACCCCAGATTCAGACTTGTATCCGGGCTTGTATTAATATGGGAAAACAGTACGTAGATGTTGTTGGTTTTTATGTCCTGGCTTGGGCTAGAGCTCTGGCTCTGACTTTCAAGCTGTTCCACCTTAAGAGCCTCTGCTCCAGCCTGAGCCACAGCATAAAAGCACCATCTACACCAGGGGTGGGCAATAATTTTTGAGAGGGGGGCCACACGCTTCCATGGTGTTGATGGAGATTGGGTGCAGAAGTGAGCTTGGGGTAAGGGATTGGGGTGCAGGAGGGAGAATGGAGTCTGGGAGGGAGTTTGGGTAAAGGAAGCAGTTGTGACCTAGGCCAGCAAACTGGGCTGCAGGGTTTTGGGATGTGTGACCTAGGGTAGGATGGGATTGTGATCTTGGGCAGGAGATTGGGATGCCAAATCTGGGAGGGAGTATGGTGCATGTGTAGTAGAAGGGCAGGAGTGGGGGGCAGAGGGTTGGGCAAGGGAGGGGCTCAGGTGTCAGAGGCAAGTTCTGGCCAGGATTGTCCAGAAACTAACCACTGGGATTGTACTTGGGGTGGGAGCAGCATCTGAATCTTCCCTCCTCCCCACTGGACTCACAAAGAGAAAGCACCCACAGATTGAGCAGTGTGTGGGGCAAGCAGGGGAGCCTGCCTGGGGCTTGCCACTGCCTTCAAGTTTAAAATGTTTCTGCCTGCTCAGCCATGTACTTGAGTGAGTGACTGAGCAGAAAGATTGTGATTCGTCACTGCCTGTTATTCAGACAGGCAGCTCCCATTGGTGAGTTTCTGTCCAGAAACTAACCACTGGGATTGTACTTGGGGTGGGAGCAGCATCTGAATCTTCCCTCCTCCCCACTGGACTCACAAAGAGAAAGCACCCACAGATTGAGCAGTGTGTGGGGCAAGCAGGGGAGCCTGCCTGGGGCTTGCCACTGCCTTCACAGGCCAGATCCAGCCCACGGGCCATATTTTGCCCAAGCCTGATCTACAGAGCTATTTTTTAGCATACTAGTATGAGCACCACTAACACAAGTCTGTGGATCTTGACTTGGATGCTGCTCTCAGGTGCTGTGTAGACATACTATGCAAAACTTCATTGTGAGATCCTTTTTATGGAGAATTATATCCTCTTCTAGGTACTCTACAATAAATTATATCCTCTTCTGTGTATTCTATAATATTAAATAATACTATGACACTCCAATAATATAAATAAGACAATATCTCATTTCTGTGGAGCAAAAAACAGAGAAATAGTCATTATAGGCATTTTTGCTTTTATCAGAAGACAAATTTGTCTAATCAGTCTCTTGAATACTTGCTCTGGGGATCTAAAGGTTTGAGAGGGATATTAGTTAAGTCCAGTCCTGTACATTTTTTAATTTTTTTGACATCTGTATCCCATACTTTTGTACCTTTTTAAAAATCCTACAAACCCACATAGCCCTCTTCGTGTCTGCCATCTCTGAAAGAAACATGGAGCCTGTATAGCTCTGCACTACTGTCATAAGTATTGCAAGCACAGGATGCACAACCTTCCAATGTTTGCTGTGTCATAAGAACAACCAAATTACCAGAAAACATAGTGATTTCTTGGAGGACAGATTGTTCTGGAACTAGCAAGAACCAATTGAAGGTTGGTGTTCACAGATGGTGGAGCACTGCTTCTGGGCCTAACCAACTAGCAGAATGCCCTCATAATGCAGGCTTGCGATGAAGCGTATTAACTGCAGAACTTCTGAATGCACAGGTCCCCTTTGTTGGATCTGTGTGCCAAGCTCACAGCAGTCTTTCAGTGCAGGGACAGCAGAATGAGAGCTGCATTGAAAATGGGGAAACAAGTGCCAATCACATTGTGGAAACTTGCAATGCCAGATTGCTATCGATCAATGTGAAATCATTTTGAAGTTAGAAAATTCAATGTGGGGACTGTCATCATGGAAGCATGCAGGGCCATTAATCATCTACTATGCAGGACTGTGACTCTCAGCTCTGTGCAGGAGATAGTGGATGGATTTGCAGCAACGAGGTTACCAAAATGTGGTGGAGAGAGAATAACAGAGGGCATACATCTCCCTAATTAGCCACAGAGTACATCTGCACAAAGGACTACTTTTCTATAGTGATAGAAATGTAGCCGTGTTAGTCTGGGGTAGCTGAAGCAAAATGCAGGACAATGTAGCACTTTAAAGACTAACAAGATGGTTTATTAGATGATGAGCTTTCGTGGGCCAGACCCACTTCCTCAGATCAAATAGTGGAAGAAAATAGTCACAACCATATATACCAAAGGATACAATTTAAAAAAATGAACACATATGAAAAGGACAAATCACATTTCAGAACAGGAGGGGGAGGAAGGAAGGTAAGTGTCTGTGAATTGACGATATTAGAGGTGGGGAGAGTGGGATGTTTGTGAGTTAATGGTATTAGAGGTGATAATTGGGAAAGCTATCTTGATAATGTGTAAGATAGTTCAAGTGTTTGTTCAATCCTCTTTGGAGAGTGTCGAATTTTAACATGAATGACAGTTCAGAGGATTCCCTTTCAAGTGCAGATGTAAAAGGTCTTTGTAGCTGAATGCAGGTGGTTAAGTCATTGAGAGAGTGTCCTTTCTGGTTAAAATGGCAAGAAACTGTTTTTTCTTTGTGATCTTGTCTGATATCTGTTTTGTGGGCATTAATCCTTTGGCGAAGTGTCTGAGATGTTTGTCCAATGTACATAGCAGACGGACACTTTCGGCACATGATAGCATAGATTATATTTCTGGATGCGCAGGAATATGTGTTCTTGATCTTATAACTCACTTGGTTAGGTCCAATAATGGTATCAGCAGAATGAATATGTGGACAAAGCTGGCAACGGGGTTTGTTGCAAGGGAAGGTACCAGGGTTGGTATTAGTGTGGTATGTCCTGTGGTTGTTGGTAAGAATCATCTTGAGGTTAGGTGGTTGTCTATAGGAGACTATGGGTCTGTCTCCCAGAGCCTCTTGGAGTATGGTATCCTGTTCCAGTATAGGCTGTAGTTTATTGATAATGTGTTGGACAGGTTTAAGTTGTCTACATAGCGCCAAATTTCGAAATAACCCACTATTCCGAAACATCCCTTGCTCCTCGTGGAATCAGGCTTATAGGGACATCAGAATAGCGAGCCCAAAATAACGGGCTTGCTATTAAGATGCGGGATAGCTATTTCGGGATTCTCCAGTATCCTGAAATAGCGTTACAGTGTAGACATAGCCTTATGGTTGACATAAGTAACGCAGTGTCTACCCTTGCATTGGGTCAACCTCAGTACATTTGCCGGGGCTCCATGGTACTTGGGGAGGTGATGTTAGTACATCACTGTAACGGGACACTTTTATTCATGGGAGACGAATTTAAGTGTCAATACAGGCATAGCCAAATCAACTATAAGGCTGCTTACATCAAAGTAATGAGTGCAGGCCAAGCTATTGACTTCAGTGGGTTTCCTCCTGATTTTCCACTGATGTAAAAGGAGAATCATGCCAGTTTTGTTGAAATGCACATAGACAGGTTAACAAAGTTACAAGAATATCAGTGTATGCCTGAAGACTGTCTACATATTCACAATTGCAAATTAAGTAAGGAATGTAAGGGTAAGTACAAAGTCAGAATATAGGAATATAATGAAAAGTACAAAGTCAGGTTTTTTACAGTATTTTCAAAGCACTTTTCTTGAAGTAAAGACCATTGTATTATAAATATTAAATGCAGAAAAGCAAGGAAATCTAGTGACCTCAATAAAGAAAAGTTTCAGCTTGATAACCTAGAAGACTGAAATCTTCTACCCATTCACAGAACAAGCACAGTGCAGGACAGTTGTAGCTATTCTGAAACTGCCTTCCAATAGTGTGCATAAACCTGACATATAGCAACAATTCTGAGAATGAGAAGAGAGGTCAGTATACATGGCTTATCCATTCTTTGGCCTCTTTGCCTTTACTTCCAGTGGTAGTTACTGCTGCCATTTGTGAGAAGAGGAATTTTTTGTGATGTATACATCTGCACTAAGAATTGGATTAAAACTCCCAGCTCATATCATAGCCTCTAAATTCAGTTCTATAATCTCTGTAATAAATGTCAGTCTGCTGGCTGTAGATATCCCATAAAATTTGAAAACTCTCATATTTCTGTTATTAAGATAATTCATGAAGGATTCTCATTTGTAGTTAAGTGATTGTGGTATCTTAGACACAGCATCAACCACATTCATACAGTGCTAAATTCAGCAGCTAGTGACTGACAGTGTTTTGTATTATTGTGACCATGGTTTAAAAAGAGTCTGAAGTTCTGCTCCAAAATCCCTGTTTAGGCTCCTAGATAAGTGCACTTGATTTTCAAACTTACTGAGCATACAGCTCTACCGACTAAAGTTAATGAGTCATCAGTGCTATTGAAAATCAGCCCACTTACTTAGGAACCCGGGCTCTTACTTTTGAAAATCTTGGGCTTACATTAGTGTCAAAACTAACAAATCACTCATACCTATTTACTAGCTAATTGGGTCATTTCCTCTCCAGATTCCAAAGTTTATTATTTTGTCCCAGAGAGATTGGCCTGCCAGTTAAATCTTTTCTAAATGACTGTCTATTTTGAATTCATTAGCCCCTTTAGATTGATATGACATGGATCTGGAAAGCAGAGGTTTCCTACCAGGCACATTCTTGCAGTTTAGCACAGATAAATTAATAATACAGATGGGAAAATGGTCTTTTCATTAATTTTAGTTTCTCAATCATTGGCTTGTTTGTTATGTTTTAAAAGGTATTCGTTTGACTCCTATGAAGAAAACCCAAAATAGTATTTCGAGTATAAATGGCAACCTCAACACTAATATTAATTTGCAAGAAAAATACAACTTAATACCTACATGCACAAAAGGTGAGTATTACCATAAAATTAATCACAGAATTCAGGAAGTTGTCAAATCAGTTTTACTCTGTCTCTAGTTGAGGGCACTGCAATTTGGTTGTGGTTCACATATCTATGCTTGTCACTGAAGAACAAGATAGGAGAATTTAAAATGATACATACTTCCAGTTTTAATAACTTCTGATGTTGACTTGTGAGCATAGTCATCTTTCATCTGTTTAATTGCTTCTACTGCACCTAAGATACAACCCTTTGTATAGTTAATGCATCAATGATAGTGTAGCCTTCATTCTGGGGAAAAGATATTTTTATCTTATTTGAGATATTTTTATCTTATTTGAGTATTAGAATTTATAAAATAAGTAGCATTCACATTTTTGTTAGAACTACGCTTTACAATTACCACATTCAGTTCTTGCTTAGATTTAATTTAATTTAAATTAACAAACAGATGGCCTTGTTCACAACTCCACAGCTCTCCAAACAGAACAAGATACACACTTGAAGAAACAAATCATCAAAGAGACATATAACATAAAATATCAAAGCTTGAATGAGAAAAATAAGTATTCATTTGATAAAGACGAGGTAAGTTGTATGAGGCTAGAGTACCCTCACATATTTGCATAAAATCCAAATAAAAGCAATAGCTATGTGGTTTTTAAAAATGTCTTTATTGTTATAAGAGTTGTCACTTGTAACAGGAACCAGCACCAACATGAATGGCCAAGTTGAATCCTAGTGTAAATAGGAGCATCTCTACTGATTGACAGTGCAGTTCACCCACTTATACAAGGGTTGTATTTAGGACTAATGTTTTTCAGCCCTTCACCCTCCTTTATGCACCCTGGGTCCCTGGTCCCTATGGCCATAGAGTGGGGTAGAGTGCTGGGACTGTCAGGTGTTTGAGTCAGGATATGGCAGCTGGAGATTGGCTGCTTGCCCTGGTTAGGGCAGGGGGCACACCAGTGGAGTCTGTGAGTGAGAGCAGAAAGGATGGGACAGAGTAGCAACAGCTGCTTTATACAGGCTCTTCTGAAATTGCCTTCCTACCATAGTTACTGCCTCTTTCCTCTGATTTCATTAATGGACCATGAGCAACAGAACCTAAGTATATGAGGTCTCTCCGAGAGACGCTGCTTCCCCATCTCCTCATGCAGCAGGGCAGACAGATTCACCACCCATCCCTCCAGATCCTTAACCTCTGGGCATGGTTTCCAAGTGATTCTCCTCAATAGAAACTGCATTCAATGATCAAACTAAGCATAATTTTACTGAACAGCTGTAGATTAACAACTAGAAAATCTTACCTGTATAAGTGGTGTAGATTCTCGCTCTGGGCTGAACAAAGGTCTGCAAACCCATCCACAGCACCACTCTCAGATGTTTTGGAATATCTTTTAAACCTAAAACACTCAGGTCTTTCAGTTAATTCATTAAAAGTTCACCTTGCAGCCATAACAGCTTTTTCATCAGCCCATTGAAAACAAATCAATCTTCACCCATCCAACAACAAAGGACTTAAGGACATTCAGAATACTTCTCCACCTGCCAAACTTCTAGTCCCAGCCGGGGTCCTCAGTTTAGTACTTTGTGCCCTCATCCATACACCATTCGAACCCATGGCTACATGCTCCACCTTTCAGTGAAGGTGGCCCTATTGATAGCTGTCACATCAGCCAAGAGGGTAAGTGAAATTGGTGCACTAATGGCTGATCCACCCTTCATGGTATTTTATAAAGATGAAGTGATTCTGTGACCACACCCCAAGTTCTTGCCAAAGGCATCCACCTCTTTTCATTGCAATGAACCCATGATATTACCCATCTTCTTCCCAAAGCCTCATGTCAATGCTAAAGAGGCTATGTGGAACATTCTCAATATGTGCAGAGTGATTGCCTTTTATTTGGACAGGACAAGGAGTCCTAGACTCTTCATATTCACTACAGAGAGATTCCTGGGTATGCGAGCTTCCACCCAGAAGTTATGCAGATGGATAGTGGACTGCATCTGGTTAGCCTACTCCATATTCAACCAAGAACCTCCACTACAACTATGTGCACGTTCCACGAGAGTTATGGTAGCGTCTACAGCCTACCTCTACAGTATTCCTCTTATGGACATTTGCAGAGCTGTGATGTGGTTTTCTGCTCTCACATTTGCCAGACATAACACCCTTGATACTTACCTATCCCAGGGTACCAGGTTCAGGCATGCTGTTCTGACTGCAGTCCAGGATACTAACTAGCTGAAGCACCTGCTTCCAATTGGGAATTGCTCTCTAGTCACCTACGGTGGCGCACCCACAGGGATATTCCTCAAAGAAGAGAGGGTTACCCACCTTGTGCAGGAACAGAGGTTCAAGATGGTTGTTGCTGTCGGTGCTCCACCACCTTCCTTCTTCCCGTCTGCTTCAGACATAGTTAATTTCTTCTGAGGCAGAGAAGGGATGGAGGGGACAGTTGGCTGCACATGCGTAGTAGCAGCACCGCACCGTCTGCTTTACATGCGCAACCTACTGGAGGGCACTGCTACCATAAATCTCTGCAGCACCCCAAATACTTAAGATGGAACACCCACAGGGACAATCATCTCAAAGAACCTCTGTTACTGCATAAGTTGAGTAACCCTCTCTTCTGTTATTCTGAAGACCTCTATAATATCAGACCTAACATTTAAAATGTGAAAAGGCATTCCTAATGACGTATCATTTTCACTTCAATGCTGTGTACTTTTGCATAATTTTAAATAAGTCAAAATACTTACAGAGCACTGAAAGTCTTTCATTGGACACATATGCAAGAGCTTTAAAAAGGAGTAAACGAAGAGTCCGAAAAGATTTTACAACAGAAGAAGTAAACTATCTTTTGAGTGGCGTCAGGAAAATGGGCCATCACTGGAATTCAATTTTGTGGTCCTACCCATTTCAGAAAGGACGGACAAATGTTGATCTTGCCAAAAAATACCACAAGTTACAGACTCAGGTAAGGGAAATTTAATTTTGTACGAGGCTCTATGCTAATGCAGGGGTGGGGAACCTTTTTTGGGACAGGAACCACTGACCCACAGAAAAATCATTCAGGGGCCACACACAAGTGAGAAGCCAAAAAAAACCCCTCATTGATGTGGCCCCTGACTGAGAAGGAGAAAGACTTCTCCCACATTCCCTTCTCACACCAGAGTCTAGGGGGGTTCAGCCTAGTTGATTTTGTGTGCTACAGCTCTGCAATGCCACAGCAGGGGAACTGGAGTGCCAGCACAGGCTCCCCAGTGCTTGGGGGGCCCGTGAGCCATGGGGGCTGGATCCAGGCAAGCCAGGGGCCACACAGAACATGCAGCCCAAGGAGGGGAAGGGCTAAGGTGCTTGTAAGCCACTTTGTGCCTTTCCAATTCTGGCTGCTCCCTTTTGTAATTACAATAGGTGTAGTAAGCTTCCTAACCTGTTGCTTACTGTGACTGTCTTCTCCAAGCTCTGTGCTGGGAGAGAACCACATCTAGTACTTTTAAAATATCTTAGCACCATTCTAGCCCCATTATTCAGAATACAAGGGCTAGAATGAGTGAGAATTTCACCCAGAATTCCTAGGATAGTCCAACTTGTTGACTAGGGTCTCTCAAGTCAGGAATTCCTGAATTCTAATTTCTGCTCTGACAGTGACAAACTTGGCTTGGGCCAAGTTTCTCTATGTGTAGATCAGTTATCTCTATTTGTAAAATGAAGATATTTATTTACGCTTTACACAGGGGTATGAAGAATTATTATGATTAGATAATACTTGTAGCATTTTTTATCAACTCTCAGGTATTCTTCCTCTTAAACATGTTTTAGAATGTTTACTAGAGCTTATATCATAATATAGTGTTGAAAAAACCAGTTTGTCTTGACATTTTCTTTTTTTTCTTTTTTACATTTTACAGAGGAGTGAAAATAAAGAAGATCTGTAATATCTTTCTAAAGTATTTTGTATTCTGTTTAAATAATTTGGAAGTTTAAATGACAGAATTATAGTATAAATGAATTAGATACAGTTAGTATACGCTCGAAAGACTTTATTTGGTATTTCTTTTATTGTGATTTATATAAAGCTAGGCTCTTATGTTCAGTGCCAGTATTCATGTACAGAAATAGTTTTGTTCTGTAGACTTAAATTTATTTTGATAGATATTTTCAGACTGCTAATGTGCTTTCCTTAAAATGTATACCAGTAAAAGGAAAATGCTTTAACTTTACAACAGAGGCATCCCCCCCCGCAAAAAACAAACAAAACTATCTGAATACAATATTCAACATGACATTCCAAGTGTTTAATTGTAATATTTGTACTTGGTTTAAATATCTCACTTGCTAAAACTATAGTGCAGACTATTTTGTCCTCTTTCATTTTTGTACAAAAGTTTAACATTGCTAAATTGATATTTTATGCCAGATACTGATACATTTTAAAATATTTTGTTGGCTCTGTTTTTATATTCTTGTTCTTTTCCATTCCACCCTTCCTTCCTGAGATGGAATAAGAGCAGATCATTATCTTTAAGATCTAGACCTTTGTACCTTCTTTTCTATTATATGTCACACTTGAAGATGATGTTTCACTGAGTTTATTACCTGACATAAGTTTATTTAAAATGCTCACAAGTTACTCATACTCTCTGTGTATAGAACTGATAGTGAAAGCTGATGAAGTTAAAAGAGCCCAATTATCATATACACAAACCGAGGTTAGTGACTGGGCTGCATGAGTGGCCCTCCCTCATCTTAGTGGGCTCAAGATTTTTATTTTAAGAACATTATTTATGTGCAATCCTTTGTAAAGCTCAATTATGGGCCCTGTATTTATGAGCTTACAATCAAACTAATTCTGTTTTGGATGTTCATTTAATTCCGTGTGTGTGTGAGAGAGAGAGAGAGTGTGAGAGAGAGCGTGTGTGCGTGTGAGAGAGAGAGACAGTGTGAGAGAGTGTGTGTATATTTATGTATGTGAGAGAGAAGCCATTGTTTCTTTACTCTGAAAAGCAGCAGGTGTTTTAAGCTAGTGTTCTTGTATTCAGATACCCCGTAGACATGGTAGTAATTGTGTTGGGAATGCCAGAAGGAGCCCTGATCAGAGGGCCTGAGCACTGGGAGATTGGACTAATTTAGCTGAACTCCCAGAAATAAGCAAACTAGAGATCAAAGTTATCTTAGGTTTCCTGCAAATGTGGAGCAGAAATACAAATGGTTGAAGGACCTTTGCAGGACAGAAGGACTGGTACTAGTCCTCATTTCTGTTAATTTAGTTTTTTTTCCTTTTGTCACTCTAGAGCAGATCCCTGCCCATAGTGCAACCCCCTTTTCTCCCCAGAGAAGAAGGCAGGCTGACATAGAAAGCAGTCCACAGAAGGACCAAGACATCTGATAAAACAAACAACCCCTTGTAACAGGCTCCCTGAGGGAGAGACTGGTTTCCTGTACAGCCTCTCCCAGGAGACTTCCATGAAGACCCCAGACGGATGACTGAGCTTGGATCTGGGCCAGTAACTTGATGTAGAGTTGTGGCAGTACTGTTGAGTTGAACTCTGGTTCTTCCTGAAAGAGATACATCTAAACATGACCTGGCCAGAGTGCTAAGTTACAGGATATGGGAGGACTAGCAGCAGACCTGAATGGCCAGCCAGTGGGGATGTATAAAGTAAAAACTTTAAAAAACAACAAATAGTCTAGTAGCACCTTAAAGATTAAAAAAACATGTAGATGGTATTATGAGCTTTTGTGGGCACAACCCACTTCTTCAGATGACCGGAGTGTTGGAAGTCCAGATCCAAGAAATGATGTTTTCTTAGCAGAGGCGTGGCGAAGGGGAGACAGGGAGGTGCAGTTGCTTCTGGGCGCCATGCTAGGGGGGCGCCAGCCTGGGATGGGAGCAGAGCGTACGCTGCGCCGGCCCACCTGACAACTAGATCAGTGAGCCGACAGCTGAGCCATGTGCTGCCGCCCAGAACACACTGTGAGCCGAGGCAGCTGACAGGAGCGGCCTCTTTTAAAAGTAAGATGAACTTACCTGACCGGTTCCTCCGGTGCTTGGTTCTGCCGGAGGGAGATTTGGTTAGGGAGAGCAGGGGGAGCGCTGGCTGTGGCATCAGCTGGTAGAAAACCTGCCAGTCTCCAGCGGCAGCCCATGGTCGGGCAGGCTAGGACCAGGGGGCACAGAGCAGGGGGTGGAGGGCCAGAGGTGTGTAAGGGCAGGCAGTGGCAGGGGGAGAGTGCAAGTGGGGGGTGGGTCTTGGGAGGAAGAGGTAGCTCAGGAGCATTTTTGGGGGGAGGGACAGTGTGTGTGTGGGGCCTTGGGGCAAGAACAGGAGGGTGGAGGATCACAGGTCTGGGTGCTTTTGCCCCCCAACCCCAATTTTTGGGCACTTCTGTAATTCTGGGCTAGGAGAGCTGGGCCCACCCCGGAGCAGTGGCTAGCCAAGGCAAGGGACAGTACATGTTCAGGATCCACAGTAAAGTGATGGCTTGGCTGGCGGAGAAGTGAAAAGAGCTTTGTAATTTGTGAACTCCGCCAGCAAGTGCTGGGAGCTGAGGCGTGGGGAGCCCCCTTCCCTGTATGCTGAATTTGCCAGTGACCCATTGCCTGACATTTGGTTCCCTGCCCACTGACTCAGCCACTCACCAGCTTGTCACTGGACCACCTCACTTGATTTCATAGGGTATGTCTACACTACCACCCTAGTTCGAACTAGGGTAGTTAATGTAGTAATACAAACTTGCAAATGAAGCCCGGGATTTGAATTTCCCGGGCTTCGTTTGCATGTTGCCGGGCGCCGCCATTTTTAAATGTCTGCTAGTGCGGACTCCGTGCCCACGGCTACACGCGGCACGTACTAGATAGTTCGGATTAGGCTTCCTGAACGAGGCGTACAGATAGTTCGGAACAGGAAGCCTAATCCGAACTATCTAGTTCGTGCCGCGTGTAGCCGTGGGCACGGAGTCCGCACTAGCGGACATTTAAAAATGGCGGCGCCTGGCAACATGCAAATGAAGCCCGGGAAATTCAAATCCCGGGCTTCATTTGCAAGTTCGTATGACTGCATTAACCACCGTAGTTCGAACTAGGGTGGTAGTGTAGACATACCCATATAGACACAAAGCGTTGCCATCTGCCCGCTGGAACGGTACCAAGCCCACGTGACCAAGGCAAGGCTAATCCTTGGCAGCCCTTGCTCTGCCCATTGGTAGCGCTCAGAGGGCTTTCCCAAGGAGGCCAGCATTGTTCCCATTTTACAGCTGGGAAAACTGAGGCACAGAGGGGGCTGTGACATGCCTGAGGTCACACACCAGGCCAAACTAGAAGCTCAGTTTCCTGTGGTTCAGGGGCTGTTTACATGGGTAGCGAAAATGTTACTGCACCACAGGCTGGCATAACCCGGCTCGCTGTAATCTGGTTAATGTGGGGAACAACTGTAGGGTGGGCAGTGGGCTTCAGCAATCACACCCTGGCTATCTCATGCTGCAATCAAGCCGCCCCTGCTCAAAGTAGACAGTCCTGGAAGCTGCCCACCAGCCCACAGTGCAGCCCAAGTAACAGCAGTGAGGGGCAGCCACCCCTTGCCCCCATTTCTCCCATTCGCTCAGCCCCATCCCAAGCTTGCTGAGCCCTGTGGGGGGAATGCTTCGGACCTAGCCAATTCACTCCCCTTGTGCTGCGACACCTGCCTAGAGGCACCATAGGGCCCAGCCCCTGGGACCCTACATTGTGTGAGAGAACAGGGCCTGACCTGACCCCTAGTTCAAGGGATCCACTTGAGGGAGGTGTCTGGCACCAAAATCCCACTGGTGCACAGAAGGTTACAGGGCCTCTGTAGGGGGCACTAGCTCCTGTTCAGTCCAAGAGCAGGGGGTACAGACTGGCTCACAGAGGTATGGATGGGCTCTGGGGACCCGTCCCTTCCAGGGGGTACCAGCCCCTATCTAACCCCATGCGGGAGTATAGAATCACGGAACACTAGAACTGGAAGGGGCCTTGAGAGGTTATAGAGTCCAATCCCCTGCCCTCACAGCAGGACCAAGCACCCAGGATTACTCGACACATGGCCCGTGGGCTGCATGCTGCCCATGGCCAGTTTGTGGCTCACGGTGCCGTTTGAGTTTATGTGGGGATCAACACACGGCTGGCGGGTGGGAGCCAAAACAAGAAGTAACATAGTCGATGTAATGGTCTTCTGTTGAGATGTGTAGTTAAATTCTTGGACTGTCATTGCTTGTGAAAAGTGCTGTCATATGGGTGGAAATTGGGTAAATGTTGCATATTAATATCAGCATAACTGACTTAAATGGGGCCTGTGTGTTATGTAGTCTTGTCTTAATCTTTGTATTCATGCCTGTCAGTGTGAAAGAAAGTATTTCCATATATATTTGCCTATATATGCAGCCACACTTAAGCTGAGGCCCTCAGCATGTTCTGTGAGTATCACCCCCCCCCCCCAGGGCTTCCAAAGTTGAGTTGCCCTAGCTCAATGGTCACCAAGCAGTAGATCAGGATCTACTGGTAGTTCCTGGAGCCTCTGACAGGTGATCCTGACTAGTTTGGCCAAGAGGCTATCAAGCACAGCACTTCAGCTGCCTCTCCCCACACTGCTGCGCAGCTCCTTCCCTCTGCCCAGGAGCTGTCCCCTCAGGAGCCTGCTTGCTGGGCAGGGAAGGGAGAGGAGGGTGCCAATCTCAGGGTGCCCCCCCACACACTCTGTATTCCATCTCCACAGACCAGAGAGGGCACACAACAGGACTTGGGATGGAGTTTGCTGGCTGCTTTTGGGAGTGGTGCAGGGCCAGGGTCGGGATGAGTATGCAATTGCACCACCACACAGGAGCCATCTGAGGTCAGCAGGGCCCAGTTGGAGCCCACATCCTGAAACCCTACCCCAGTCACGGACCTCTTCCTGTACCCCAATCCCCTGCCCTAGTCCCAAGCACCTCTGCATCCAAACACCCTCCTAGAACCTGCTCCTAGAACCCTGTCCAACACCCCAACTGCCTGTCCCAAGCTCAGCTCAGAGCCTCTTTCATATTCTAGATTCCTTAATCCAAGACCAGAGTCCCCAACCCTCAGCCCCAGCCTTGTGAAAGTGAGGGAGGATGGGGGAGGAAGGATGGAGTGCATAGGTACAGGGGACCTCAGAGAAGGGGCCCAAAGAAGGCAGGGCAAGTATATTTGGGTATGAGATAGATCTTTGATAGCATTTAAATTCAAAAAGTGACCTTGTGCTTAAAAAGGTTGGAGACCACTGCCCTAGCTCATCCCTGAGAGGTGTCTGTCGAACCTGCTCTTAAATATCTCCAGTGATGGAGATCCCACAACCTCCCTAGGCAATTTATTCCAGTGTTTAACCACCCTCACAGGTAGGAAGTTTTTCCTAACGTCCAACCTAAACCACCCTTGCTGCAATTTAAGCCCCTTGCTTCTCGTCCTATCCTCTACAGAGGCCAAGTAGAACCATTTTTCTTCCTTCTCCTCATGACACTCTTTTAGATACTTGAAAATGGCTCTCATGTCCTTTTTCAGTCTTCTCTTTTCCAAGCTAAACAAGGCCAATTCCTTCAGCCTTGCCTCATAGCTCATGTTCTCTAGACCTTTAATCATTTGTCTTGTTCTTCTCTGGACTTTCTCCAGTTTCTCCACATCTTTCCTGAAATGTGGTGCCTAGAACTGGACAGCTGGGACCTAATGTGGATGGTTCATTCCCTGCCTAGGGGAAGTGAGACTGGGTGGGTTAATTTCCAGTCCTGTTTATTCTTTTCTTAGCTAGGAGGGCACAACTATTCTGATGGGAGCTCTGCAGGAAGGCAGCCCACACTGCCCCCTCCCTGAAATCCCTTGTGCAGGTGTTAAATAGCTGTCCAGCCCACCCTAGAGGTGACTACATTTCAGCGTGCCTGAAGCAACACAGCACCAGCAATGGACCAGGGAATTGCCCCCGGGCATGGCTTGCTCATGACTGCTTCAGTCCCATTGGATGGGCCTCAGCCCCTTTTCTACCCCTGCCCTGCTTTGCGAGGGGGCTGTAGATTCTGGGGAAGAAGGGTGGAGGCAGGTAGAGGTGTGTCCCTGCAGCAGATGTAGACACGTCTCTGTATTAATCATTCTCTCATTGAAGTTTTTAACTTTGTATTATGTCTTGGTAGAATAGTCCCTAGGACAAGTGAGGCAGAGACTGTCCCTGTGGGGTGAATGTGGGAATGGATAAGGCAGAAGGTGAGCACCTCTGGGAAGTTGCAAGGGTTGGAGAGGGGATGAAAGCCAGATCCAAGACCAATGAGCCCTGGACAGTGCCTGTTGAAAGGAGACTGGACTTATGGATGCCTTGGGGGGTCAGCAACAAGGACCTGCTTTGGAAAGCCCCCTCTCTTTGGAGGTGAATGTGGCACCATTGAGACAACCCTTCCCCCTCTTGGGGGGTCAGCAACAAGGACCTGCTTTGGAAAGCCCCCTCTCTTTGGAGGTGAATGTGGCACCATTGAGACAACTCTTCCCCCTTGAAACAGGCACCACAGACACTAACTGCAGATGCATAGGATGGCTCTCACAGATCTTGTACATTCATAAGATGATAGATCTGCAGGAGGGGGGAGCAGTGGCATAGCGTGGGGGCCGGAGGGGTCAGTTGCCCCTAGGCACCATGCTAGGGAGGTGCCAATTTAATCCCATTCTGCTCCCTGTCATCCCTGGGCTCGCC